ATATATAATTATAAATCATAATAGATTTATAGAATAATATTTGAATTATTAGGTAGGCATTATTAATTAACAATCGGTGACTGTAACGTTTTTTATTTTCAGTCATGTATTTAATATTTATTATTATGAACATTTATTTTTTTAATTTTGACAATTATTAATAGCCCAATAATTTTATTTTACAAAAATAATTAGTATTAGTAGATTTATTATGATTAAAAAATAGGTACTGCAATTAATTTAATTAGGTAGGTAACAAATATAGAATAGTGTACAAAACATGAATGGAAAAAAGTATGAACCAGTCTGTTTAGGAAGAGATTAAAATAAGTTTTCATGCATTTTTCTAATAATCTAAGACATGGCATAGAAATAATATCTTAGATTCTGAGCGAAGCGATAAATGTACTTATTGGTTTTACAATTAATTTTTGCGCCTGAAAAAAATTTTTCTAGTAGAAATAATACTTCGATTTTCAACTTATAATCTTTTCTAATAGAAAAATGAATTTAGTTGATACTTTTGAGAGGTAAAATTAAAAAGTTGGGATTTCTTAAATCCTTGGGAATAACAAAATAAGGATTTTCAGACATAAATTAATGTGCATAATGTACACAAGAATTCTCATCAAACAACTTTCTTAGTTTGTTGTAAATAAAAAACGAATAACCGTCGATACCTGAAATTTTCATCTATTGTTTATTTTATCATTTTCTATGTATAATAAAATGATTTACACATTTTAGGCTATTTATAGACATTTTCAATTTTTTTTTACTTTTTTCATTATAATTAAGTGACAAAAAAAAAAAGAAATTGATTTAGTCGAAAATATTGAAAAGTTAACACAAGGTTCCTCATAAATGTGATAATAACAGTTAAAAATATTTAAGATAAGTATATGGTATATGGGCACGGTTTTTTATAAGTATTTAAAAATTTAGAAATTGACAAAATTCGTCAGTATCTCAAAAATGTGCAAATTAATTTGTAGTTACAAATTTAAACATTTTCAGTTTTTAAAGCTAAGGATCAAAAATTTAAGACAAAGATCTTCTAAGTAGTTTATACTAGGTATCTCTGAAATTTAAAAAAAATTATATCAACATGCAGGTACAATTTTTTTTTGTACTTTTATTTTAAGATCAAATCTAGACGAAATTAGGTATTTAAACGAAGAATAACTATCTTAGTTATTTTGTTGTAATTTAAAATTATTTTCATAATGTAGGCCGACTGACAGACCGTCTCCGCTCAGAATCAATTACATCGTTGAATTCAAATTTAATATCATTCATAACCCATTTGTAACCTACCCAATAGTAAACTGGTACCCACTGGTATTTTCTAATAAATAGGTTTATGTTATTACTAATTATAAAGATTTTATAAGTGATAGGTCCAGCGTAACTAATAATAAAAATAGGGGTTATTTCTTTGTATCAGTGCGATGTGTGAACTGCGTAATGATGTGCCATCACAGGCACTGGCTCTGATTTTGAAGAACTGTTTGTAAATATAAGATATATTACCAATATACAGGGTGTAACAGAATGACCTGACCAAAAAAAAAAAAAAATGAAGCCAATTTTTTTTAATATCATATGATGAATAAATAATTTAAGAAATATACTCATGTAGTCGTGTCAGCAAATTCTCAAAAATCATATTTTTTAAAAAGTTTTGCGTTCCAAATTCATTTAACCAAAAAAATATTGAATTTTAAAAAAATTCTAAAACTAAACTACTTGATTTAGCTAAATCTTTTTACCACCAAAATTGTTCTTATAATCAGATTCATAAATAGGCTATTTTGAATTTATCCAACATTTTTTTTATTAAATTAATTTTTTTTCATTTTCAGTACCTACTAAAAAATAAAACATAAAAAAAATGTATTAAACATGTAGTGCTAGGTTCACTTAATGAACAAAAAAGAAAAAGGCGGGTAAGTCGTGGATGTCGCTCTGCTGTACAGTAGGTTACCTGCTGTAGTGGATGAAATTAAATCCAAATGAATTTGAATCCAATGATATTATATCATTGTATACGAAAAACGATTCTGAGCGAAGACGGTTTATCTATAATATAGATTATTAAAAATTTTCAAATCTTGGATTTAAAAGAAAATTTTTATGCATTTCTAGCTTAAAATAATTTACAAATTATGATTTTTACGTATGTTGTCAAAATTCAAACTGAATGCTTATAAAAAAAAAAATGTGACTAGTGACTATATATTTCTTTTATTTTTCAACTGCTATTGTAAAAATATTTTAGGAGCCTTGTATTAAATGTTCAAATCTTAGATATAAAAGGAAAATTGTTTATGAATTTCTAGCATAAAATAATTTACGAATTTTCGTGATTTTTAAGTAAATTCTAACTTTGAATGCTTATAAAAAAAAATTGTAACTATATATTTCTTTTATTTTTCAACCAGTGTCAGCCTGGGATATGAAAGGCCTAGGCAGGTTTTTTTTAGGGCCTCAATTGTTTGTCAAAATTTACCTAAGATTGAGTTTAAATTGAGAAAGTCGTGTATTGTGATATCTTTCATATACATAACTTCAAAATTACTTGCACATTTTCGCGTTTTCGACAGATTTCGTAAAAATTTGAACTATATACGCTTAAAAAAAATAATTGTGACTAACGATTTTCAATTTTTTTTTAGCTACAATAAGAACAACTCATAAAGAACCTAGTATTAAATTTTCAAGTTTTTTTGGGCATCCAAAATTTTTTTACCAACACTTCAAAAAAAAAATTATCATAAAAATCGAAAATTTCAGTTGTCTATAAATAACTCAAAAAAGTCAAAAAATTTTGAAAATTAAACTTTATATAGATAACACTAACATTTGGTGAAAATTTCAAGTTTTTACAGTGATTAGTTTTTGAAATCGATTTAGTCGAAAACTGGTTTTGCGTAAAAATTCCCGTTTTTCTATCATTTTTTTTTTGTTTTTCTCGATTTTTTTGAAAACTGTTGGAAAATGTTTACTTTTGACCTCTATAATGCACCAAGGATATTCACTTTTACACGAGAAACCACCCCCAAAGTTTGAAATTGAAGCATTATTTCGACTAGTTATGCTGTACACAGACACAAATAAAAAACACACACATCATTGTAAAATCAATACATTCATCACTCCGTTCAGAATCAAAAATAAATAAAAAATATTAACGTGAAAAAAAGTTAGTTCAAATGTCAGTTCTATCAGTTACACCTTGTATACGAATTCTTCTCAATATGTATTGTATATTTGTATGTACTTATCTTCTTAATTCTTCACGTTGGTTTCTATATTATTAAGCTGTTTATTTTGATCAAATTTTGAGAATAAGATGATTATGAACTACCTAAAATGTTCTGTAGTACATAGGTGTAAATTTAGTTAAAAATCTAGAGAGGGCCAGAAATATCGATCAATATGTAGATAAATATAATTTATTATACTCACAAGATCAAGTTAGTAAATAATCTGGAGGGCTATGCTCCCCTAATTTGCCACCATAGGCGTGCGCAGACTTTGTTTGCACTGTTTGCAGGGTACCTATGCGGCTGATAAAATATGCCCCTCTCCCACAGATATAAGCGATCCTAAAATTAATGAGCATGATATTTCATCTTACACTTTTGGTTACTAATTTGTTCATGTGCTCCCAAGCGTCTGCCTGCAGGGTATGCAAACGCATACCCTGCATACCCCGTGCGCACGCCTGTGTTTGCAACTATGGAATTAAATGGTTTTGAGTAAGAGTTTGTTTGATTTCTTTTTATTATCATCGTTTTTTTTATAAATATTCACACTATATTGTGATTAATGTAAGTTGATGACACAGCGATGGTTTTTGCCATAATCGTTTAAAGGTGCATTGCTCTTGTATTCCCACGAATCGCTAATATTAAATAGGTACCTATTATAAAGTTTATATATGATTTAACAACGATTTGAACAAAAAAATCCTTTGTTTTATTTAATGTGCTTATTGTTCGTTCATTATTATCTCTAAAGATTTTAACTTAACTAATATTAATTGTTTAAAATATCAAATTATATAAATAGGGTAACTTATTATACCTCAACCCCTGATAAAGTTATACAGTTTTCGTTAGTCCAATGGGCAATGATCCTTGAATATTTGGCTTTTCTCAATGTTTTCCTATTAATTGATGTTAAAAATTAATTTAGTTTGTGGCAAGAGTCGCCAACATCAGGGTCATGTGCCCGCCTTGGACTCCTTATTTGGGCTCACGTTGAGGATCATGTACTTGAAAAATAAATAATTCGAGGTCAATGTTCACAAAACTACCTTTTAGTAAATACCTACATCACTTTTCATTTTGCTGTAGGATAACAAAGCATACATAGAGATAATTATCTACAAAAGAGGTCTTAACTCTTAAGGTATTATCATATAGTACATAGGTATTGTAATTTGTAAGTTATAAATTATAATTTTCGGTTTTTGCGCCAGGTCTTTATAATTATTTCATACAGTTGTACGACAATAAGTTTCAAATAAAAATTGTGGAAGAATTGTCAACAATGTTATAGCATTATTTTATAATGTTCATGTTCTAGCAATAGGTATACCATAATAGTTCTGAATGTACTTGTTATACTTATTTCGACCTATTAAATTTTTATCACAAAACTTTGATAGTAAAATTACAAATTATAATTTTCAATGATACTAAATAAATAATTAAATAGGTTGAAAAATTGGATTGATAAAATATCTTAAAGTATCTAAATCATAATTGGTGGCTGCCCACCCTTCAAAAAGATCTGTGCACGTCTGTGATTTGCTGATCTCTACAATAATAAAAATAATATATTACGATTAATATAATTATTAAATAATATATTATTATAAAAATATACAATTTAATGAATTTATATACATAATTATGTGTATATTATATTGATACAAAATAGTTAAGTAAGACCTAAGTTAACCTACTAATAAGTGATTACAGGAGTGTAATAGCCTTTGTGTATCTGTGTGGGAAGCATCACATTTTTTTATAGGCCCTGCTAAATGAGGGATGGCCCTGGTAAATATGATATAATTTCAAATAAGTCAAATGAATATACAAATATTGTGCCTAAAAGCTGTTCCCACCTTAGTTTTTGAAGATACACTATCCTTATTAGTTCTAATTAAACTCTTCGTCTGCTTTTTTGTTTTCAGTACGACTAATAACGCCAAAACAATTGTTATATAATGAATAGTAATTCTCTATTTACTTATTAAAAGGGAATGAAACAGTAAATGCTTTATAGTATATATTATAAATTATGATGCTAGGTTTCATTTCTATGTTCTAACGTTTGTGCATCAATTTAAAAATATATTTTATGCTAATTAGTTAATATTTTTTTATGCATGTATATATTTATAAGGCCGTTCCTGGGTCAAATAAGTCATTTTTTGGAACCTCACACGTGTAAGACTAATATTTTTGTATTTTTGTGGTCTTATTAAATTTAAAATTGAATATATTTTTTTTTTATCAACATTAAAATTAAATTAAACTAAAACAAAATTACATAGAATACAAATGGATTAACTCTGTTTTTTTTTCAATTTCAACTAACTAGTTACATATTTTTACTTAAGAAAATTAAATAAAAATATTTATTATTTTAAAATAAGATTACATATTTGGCTATATACAGCCTAACAGGCTATACATGTAAGAGAGTAAGTGTAAGTATAGGGAGTAAAAAATATTGAACTCCAGATTTGGTTTAGTAGTGATTTTGTAATAAGATAACGGTGCAGAAAAACGTGGTTATCAATTACTTTTTCCAGATGCTATTAATCTAATGCTTAATTATTTTGAAATAAATGAATAAGTGTCTAAAAAATAATATGTTAAATGTGCATCTCACTTAAAAAATATAAAAAGTGTTAGTAAAAATAATTGAATTTAACATTAAACAATATTTTCATCTTTCAATTTAATGATAACTCTGGTCAATAGCTCACAATGTTGATCCTAGAAACAGTTATTTTTCATATTGGTGGAAATAATAGATCAATGTGATCAGTCTTATTATATTTAACTAAGTATACTTAAGAATAGAAAACTAAACACTACAATAATGTTTTTACATATTATTTTTTATTATTTGGTAGTTGATAAATGTAAAAAAAAGTACCTTCAAATAATATAGTGCGTTAATATAACATAAATACAAAATTCAATTAAATACTTATAGCTAGTGGTTAAAGTCGCACTTTTAACTGTTCCATACGTTGTTTGATTCTTCTTCTCATTTCTTCATATCTAAAAAAAAGTTATGCATGCTATTTATTCATACTTTTTAAGCAGATTTTCAACAGCTTCAGTTAGATTTTTGTAATACTCAGTTTTCGATACCCCAAGCAATGACTAAAAGCTGTTATTCCCAGCTGCCTGTCTAGCAGATAAAACTAACTGCTGAGAAGTACTCTTAACTTAAATAATTTGTAAAGGAACCAATGAGCTACAAGGGTAGTAGGTTGAGCCAACATTTTAAGAAAAATACATAGGATTTAATGATCTATCAGCCTGCGAATATCTAAAAATACCAATTAGATAATAGAAAATATTTTACTTTGCTTGAACTGCCATAATATGTTTCTCTTCTTCAGCATCATAACCAGCCAAAATAGCTTTACATTCTGGTATACTAAAGTTAAGAAATTGAGCCACATCACAACTAATTTCATCTGTGGTTCGACTTTCCATTAAGTATAATCTAGAAACATCTTCATGTGGCCCTTGAATTAATCTTACGACCAATGGATATTCATCATCCAATAATTTACGACGTTCTATAATTACATTTTAAACAAATTAATCAGGTAATACAATTCACAAAACTTTTCTGATATTTCTAACCTCCATTATCAAATACAAGAAATATTGAAAATTGATATGCTTTCCCATCAACTTTGTACTTGTCTAACATCAAGTTGATAACTTCTGGTGTTGTAACCAATGATGTAACCCAAACAGACATTTGACTACCATATGGTGGTGTGAAAAAACTTGTTTCACGATTATAAAAATGGCCATTAATTGAACATCTGCGTTTCAATTTAGTTCTATTCTTTCCATTCAATCTTCCAGTTCTAAAATATTAACAAAAATAATATACATTTAAATATAAAATAGTTCAATATAATATGTAAAATGTATCAAATAACATGCCTTCTTTTGATAGCTGTTGATCCAGATTTCCGACGCATTTTAACGTTATTTACAAATTCATCTTGATGGTCAGATAATGATTCATCATTGTATTCATTGTCACTGGTATCATCATCTAATGAACGACTCCTCAGCAAACACTTATCAACAGTCTCTTTTTCTAACTGAGATTCAAAGTTTTCTGAATATTCGTCATTTTTATCTGGAATTAAATCTTCTATATCAGCTTTTGTACTACATACTTTTTCATCGTCTATCACTTCTCTTCCTACCTATTTAATTTATGACAGATTAATAAATAAAATGTTTTAATTAAAGGGGATTGGAAACAAACTGTTTTTCCTATTAAAAAGTCCCATTTTCATTCCAATTAGCTGATTAATCTAATTTGTACAATAAGAATATTGAAAACATATTTAAATTCTCTTGTTCTTTGGATCTACTAATAAATTTCAAAAGGATGTCATAACTGAATGTGTATTCTATTTCTTAGAAATGTGCTGCATAATAAATTTGAGTTCAACTGTTTTAATTTTAAGTTGTTAGTTTCAATATTAGAGTCTAAGGTCTGTTTTATCACATTCATTTACACAATATTTCAATTTTAAAGATTTATGAGCATTTTAAATTGTTAATACACATAACTTTCTGTAAAATTAAAATAGTGTCTAAAAAAACAATAAGAGTACACAGATAATGTTCTCAACAAAGTTTAATAATAGATCTTAATTAATCTTACATTAATGCTAACACAAAATTGGAACTACTGAAAATAAATTTATGATGCAATAGGTTTGTAAGATGGAGATAGCATATAAGGATATTTCGTACTTTTAACAAATTTGGACTACACTGTCTACACTTGTCAAAGTTCAACTACTATGAGTGTAAAGATGTACAAATAATTGACAGTGAATTACATTTCTTCAAATAAATATAAGTTGTTTATCTGTATGGATCCAAAGCAAACATATCAAGATGTTCTAATGTTTCAAATATCATAATCACATTCTAGAATGTTTGATTTTATCAGTATGATGGAATGAAAATCAAAAATTTTATTCTAAAAATGTATCATACAGGCAACCTTACATACTATGAGTTTAAAATTCCCCTAATTAAAATCAGTTTGTTTCAAATCTACTTAACATGTATTTGGTACAAAAGAAAAAAAGTTTATTAAGTGGATGTGATTTTGATTATTAACAATATTAAATTTTATTTTATTTTAAATTTATTAAATTTTTAGCAATAGTAAGTTATCTCAGTGGCAGATTTAAAGATAACATTTAATACTACAATAAGTCAAAGCAAAATGTGGTATGTCACAGTTCACGATACAGATACATTTTACAAAGCCATTCCCATATGTTTTTGATCATAAATCATAATTTCAACAATAAATTTGCAACTGCTTCACATCATAGATCAATTAAATGTATAAATTATTATTAAAAATAATAAAACTTTATCATTTTGAATGATATTATCAACAGATACAAAAGAAAGAAATAACAAATAAGGGTATCACATCCTCTTAAGTACCAAAAAAAGTTATTATATTAACTAACTACAAATTTAATTACTTTCAAAAATTGATTTATGTCATCTTTAACAACGTTATGATTTAAGTTATTTGGTAATGTATTAAATTTGCTTAAATAGTTGTTTCCATTTTGGTGTTGATCATTTTTTGAATTATTAGTTACATATTTACTTTGTAGTTTCTGAAAATCCATTTAAAAATAGAGCATGGCATTATATTACATTGTAATTAAAAACTACACTGTTCACCATTAGTGGCACATCATTTTCTCTAAGGATTCTATTTTTGATTCTTTGGTCATCATCTTCTTTCAGATGAATCATGTCAGTCACAGCCCAATAGATTCTTAATGCCCCTTCTAGAATAGGACGTCCATTTACCTATAAAAATGAATTCTATTAATATAAAAATTTGCTAAAAATAAAATATAAAAATGTTCAAACAATTACTTACCTCACGGCTACGAATCTCTCCACTACGCCCTTCATAATATTTGTTGTACATTTTGAGTTTTTCGTCCAACTCGGACCTATAATAAACAAAAATCAAAATGTTAAAAGAATCAGATTAAACATAAATTATCACAATATAAATTAATTACAATATTATTACCTTTCAACATTTGGCCCAAAGGGATATTTGTTTTCGACTCTACCAAAACTGGTATGAGACTCCACTCTAGTACCATGGCCATATAATTGAGGTCCAAATAACACACCGTAACATGGCACATGACAGTAAGGGACACCTTTATGCTGAAAAAAAAACGAGTTATAACAGTGTAATCATATCAACATATTAACCGATAATGATTATCAAATTATATTTTTTCTTCTTGATCATACCTCTGCATGCTGTCCGGGGTTCAATCGCTTACTACATTCTTCACATCGTAGACATTCAGGATGCCAGTCATAGCCTAACGATTGCATGCGTTCCGCTAAGTAAAAAAAATCATAGGTACATAGTTAGATAGTTTTTTTAAATGAAAATTCAAAACTCACCGAAGTACACTGGTTTGCCACATTTATGGCATTTCCACATGGCTATGTAAAATATGTGACTATAATGATTGTAGTTCTAGCCTTACCCTAAAATTGAAAATATTGATAAATTTATATTAAATATTTAAACGTTCGATAACATAAATTATTGATCAATAGTCAATACATGGTCCTAGGAATATCATGTTTTAACTTTTAAGTATTAATGTATTATCTTCAATTATCTCTATTATGATAATTTATTATAATTTTTTATCATTAGCAATGATAACGAAAATAATACCACAGAATTATATTGTAATACTACAGTAAAGTTGTACCATAGAATATATTCTATGACAGTATAAAACATTTTGCAGTGTGACCAGAATTTAAATACGTATTTATAGATTTTTGAAATTATTCGACAAAAAGTTCGATTTAACACGGGAGCAAAACCAATAGGTTTAATAAAGGTGTCAAGAGGTCGTGACCAATATAGAAAACATTTATCCGGAAATGAAAAAAAACTAAAAGAGCTAAAATAGAACTAGAAAAATAAATTATGTGCGGGGCTGTGGCACTATAAAGAAATATATAAACATTATAAACAATTCCGGTTCTTACATTCTGGCATCTATTGTTTCGTGGTTCTAGCAATGTTGTTGGGATGGTCAAGGTGTAGGTCGTGTAGAACCACACACATATATTATATTATTATTAATGCAGTATTGCGCATGGCGTACGTGATACAATAAATTAATTACTATTAATAAGTGTCACAAGGAAAAGTTAATTTCTAAAGTATTAAAAGAACCATAACGAATACTTAAGCCCCGACCTTGTAAAAGACAATGTAATCTGGCTGTTTTGTCTAGTATATAAAGATTATAAAGGCGCTCCGAAAGAGAGAGAAAGAGTCTAGACACTCTATTTCTACGTGACGACTAGTTGACAGTATTTATGAGATATTTGTCTTAAATTGTAACATTACTCTGAGTGTTTAAAATGTCTTAAATACTAACCTATATCAATAAATTTGTAATAATAGTTAATTTGACTACGTGTTAATTGTCAACTGATCTCCGCCACAACTGGATCACAATAATGTTACACTTAAAGGAAAAACATGGACATAAATGGATGGGGATTGTATGATGAACTTAGCCTTCTTTTAGAAATAATTGATAAAGGTGCTTTTTTTTGAAGAGTTCTTCTAAAAATCCTTATAAATGTCTGCTTGCTTTTTATTATATATTCAGCCTCCCTTAAGTCAAAAGCTGAAACGGCGCCTAAGTATATAATATACAATACAGTGTTTGGAAAGAACGTCGTTCATAAACGCATGTTCACACGTTCACGTTCATAATTATAAAAAAAAAATAATAATGAACGATACGMGAACGTCGCGCGTCGCTCATTTTTTTTTAAATAGGACGTGAACGTTTATATTTTTAATGAATTTGAACRATTTTGAAGACGCTAAATTTATTTACTATTTGATAAATATAATATGTATATAATTTAGATACTTTAGAAAAAGTATATGCTCTAAAGTCTAAATTGTTTTTATTTTTGGGTTAAGACCTATATGTTTAAGGATTTTTATACAAACTGCTGGTAAACTATTTATAAACAAAAAATTAGATGAACGACCTTATGAACGCGTTCATTTTTTCAAAGAACGTGAACGTGAACGCGTTCGTTTGAAAAAACATGAACGTGAACGTGAACGAGTTCCTTTTTCAAGGACTGAACGTGAACGAATTCATCTTTTTAGTGAATGTTCCGAACATCCGAACACTGATACAATATACATTCATATAACGATATAACATTAAGGATTATGCTCACATCACCAGTAACAACAGAAACAGCTGTAAGATCATTTTCAAAATTAGAGTTGGTTAAAAATTACCTAAGAACAACTCTAAATCAAGAGAAAATTACAAATTTGGTAATAGTATCTATAGAACATAAAAAATAGTAGACGAACTGGTCCAAGAAAAGTTAATTTTTAATTATTAGTAATAATTTATTACTGTTATTTCTGTAATAAATAATTTTATAAATATCTTATAAAACTTTAATCATAGATAATATGTACAAAATCGATTTTGGTTTTTGATGTAACTTTAAAAAACAAATGACCATAGCTACATGAAATTCTCACCGAATGTTTATATAACTATATAAGTATATTCTATCCACCATGCAATTTTTTTTAAATTTTCGACTTAAGTTGAACTATTTATAGGTATTTGTAATTTTCGATCATTATTAGTTTTTTTTTAAATTAATATCGATAAAAATGTATTTATTGGGTAGACAAGCTTGAAAATTTAATACAAGGCTCTTAACATATTGTTACAATGGTTGCAGCAGTTGAAAAATATTAAAAATGTATAGGCATGATAATACGTAAAAATTACGGCAAAGTTCAAATTATCTTAGACTTTAGACAGAAATTCATTAAACATTTTCTTTTTAAATCTAAGATTTGAAAACTTAATACAAGGCTTCTAACATATTTTTACAATACGATATCCACTTTCCCGTTTTTTTTTTTTTTTTATATATGAACATTTAAGTAATACTTTTTTGAGATTTAAGATAAAAAATATAGTTGCTTTTGGTTTCATCATACAAATTATCGTAATATAATAGTAATATCCACACATCGTGACCACCTATTATCTATTTTTAGTACCTCCAACATCCCTTTCGATTCTATAAGTACCTATACTTTCAAACCAACAAATTAATTACATAAAATAATCATATTAAATATATTATCTTTCATCTTTCTTTAACCATTCAGGATTTTTAATCTAATTTTATATTGTACTATTTCTATTGTATTTGTAACTGTATTTACTGTATTTGTATTTTGTAATTCGTAATTGTAATTTTAATTGTAATTGTTGAAACCAATTTTACCTATCCACAAAGTTTAAATAACCAAAAAAATTAAAAATAATAATAGTAATAGGAAAAAGATAAATCATTGTATTTTATTCGCTAATTTCAGAAACAAATTGTTATAGTTCCCGGACTGAGGAATAATAAAAAAAAATAATATTTTTGTATACTTATACCATTGATTATAAAATATACTGTTTAGTATTCATAATCAATGCTTCTGCATATAAACAAAAAAAAAAAAATATTTTAAAAATTGCACTAAAAATACAAAAATAATTTTCTGTACTTAAAAATAATGAAAAATTTAAAAGTGTGTGGTGCTCTTACACTTGACATATACTCAAAGTCACAATCTTATAAACAGGTTTGAACAAAGAAGTGTATGTGAGACTTAGCTCGGCTTTAAATGTTTTGTATGATATCAATATTTTCGTTAGGTAAACAGGGGCGGATTTAGAAAAATGAAATGGGGGGGGGGCTATAAATTATATCACACAAAGACAAAATATATAATTTTAGTACGTATATTTATTAATTATAATATATTTTAAAATAATAAAAAGATAATAATATTAAGTTAGATATTAAGATAAATAAGTTCATTAGCCTTTTGACCAATCTTCAGTTTTCATTCTCCTTTGCTTCTGTCGAGAAAATCTATTTRTGACATCGTCGATATCGATGGGTATTTCTTTATGTATGTGCAGTACTGCTAACCCATTTAGCCTATCTTCTGTCATAGAAGATCTCATACCTTTACCTAAGGTAAATTATAGTAATTTATAGTTTATACATCACATATTATTAAAATAAATACAATAAAATAATAAAAATAATAATTAGATTTTAACATGCACTTATTTAAAAATGTTCTTATAAAATATTTTTAAAAAACTTTATTATTATTTGAAATTACAAGGTTAGATTATTAGGTAGATCGTAATTTACTTAACGAAAATATTGATATTTAAAAATTTGTAAAAAATCAGCCATTTGACTCAAATAAGTGTTTTTACCATATTATACATTTTTCTAAACATCAGATTTACAAATTGGCTATATTGAATATTTCGAAAAAAAATTTATMAATTTTTAAGTTTTTTATTTTCAGTATTAAAAAATACAAAATTTAGTGCAAGTGTCTATGAATTATATTTAAAAGAAATTTTTTAAAAATATTGATTAGAATAAAAGTCAGAATTTCAGATCTCTGTGGGACACCCTGTATATCCAATATATCCATTGGCTGTCAATAAAAACGTTCTAAAAATGTCGAAAAGGTTTTTATTTGCAGGCCTTACATTTGGCGCTATAAGTGGCAAGTGCTGTTGGCTATTATATCATTACATTACCAAGCGGAAGCAATTGTTAAATGATAATCACGTGCAAATTGTACAGGTAATCAARATATTTATTTATTTGTGTCATATTTATTTTAATTCGTACAGTCTGTATAAATGGACACATAAGAGGGTTTGGTTGACTAAGTCCAATAAAAAAAATAATTAATATTAAATCGATATAGATTTCAGCCTAAACCAATAATATTAATAATCATTTTTCTATTCCATAAAACTACTTAAATAAACGGTTAAAATATTTGCATACAATACTTTATTAATAAGAAAAACAGTGTATCCAGGGGTAATTTTTACCTGCTATATCTCGTGTGGGAACGTAACATTCGCCTAAAGTTTAGGTTCTTAACCGGTGGTCCATGGACCCCTTGGGGGTCCGTACATGGTTACTCGGGGGTCAAGAAATCGAGAAATCGATTGGACATCAAGGACGATATGCGAGTTGCTTTGTCTAATACGGTCCCAGATTTCAAAGCAATATTGCAGTCAAAACAACAGCAAATGTCACATTAAAACTTGTATGTATAAATTTTAACTATAAAAAAGTGATTATTTAGAATAATTTAATAATGTATTAACTCTTAGTATTATTATCATTAAAAATAATTAAAATAAAAATTGTAGTTTTTTTAATTTTTTTTTTTTGGGGGGGAGGGGTCCGTGCTTATACTTTATAAATCAAAGGGGTCCACGACCCCGATAAGGTTAAAAACCTATGGCCTAAACGCATAGGGTATACCCCCTGTGCACGCCCATGTGACTACACTCGATGGGAGTTACCCGTTTCCGCTAAAATAATATTGGCCGTTTCCGCCATAGCCCTTTTCCGCCAAAAACGAAAAAGGTACAATTCCCGTTTCCGCCAAAAGACATTTCCGCAACAAAAAAGTTTGGAAACCAATGGTCTTAATTTTTAAGCAATATAATATA